ACCCCAACCCGTTCAAGCGCTCCAAGTCGTGGAACCTCCTCTCGCGAAACGCCTTCACCCAACCGCCCCGTCCCCCCGCCTCGCCCTCGACAAAGCCCCCGCTCCACCCCAACCATCGTATCCTACGACGCGTCATCCCCCCGCTCCCGCGTCGCGCCGCCGCCCACAAGGACCGCCCGCGCGGCTTCATCGTGCGTGACCCTCCGCCCGCCGCCCGCCTGCGCTTCCAGCGCTCGCGCCAGAAGCCGCACCGCTCCTCGCCGCGCTCCTCGCCTCCGAGCCGCCACCACCGCGACACCTCACATCGCACCCCGTCGCGCCGCTCCGAGCGCCCCCCGCCGAGGGACTCCGCCCGCCCGACCGACCGCCCGAGGGATTCCGCCCGCCCGACCGACCGCCCGAGGGGCGATCGCCCGCGCCCCCCGGCCCACGCCGGCCCCATCGAGCACGCCGCGGCCGCCCCAGTGCCAAAGGGGCTCGTACCGTCGCCGCGCGAGCTCAACTCTGCCGCCGCGCACGTCAACCGCCAACGCATGGCCACCCTCGACAGCCCGGACCCGGTCACAAGCCGCATCAGCTCGGACCTATCCAGCACGCTGGACCCGTCCTCCAACTCGCGCGCATCCACTCCGCTCAAAGGCATCCGCTTCCAGCAGGAGCCCGTCGTGCTCGACCCGGCCCTCCACGCCATGTCGAGCGACGTGTCCTCGCACGTCTCCGGGGGGCAGGAAGGCAAAGCCTCGCCGCCATCTAATCGTGAGAGGTCGCTGAGGCCCACCCCGCCAGAGCAGACCGTTACGGCTATGCCTGTCCCGCCGCCAGAGCCGGAGCTGCTGTCGCATGCGGCCACGTTCTCGCCCCCGGCCATGAGGTACGACCCTATCACCGGCCGTTTGACGTTGCAGTCGGAGCAGCCTTACACATCCGACTTGTTTGGTGTCGGTACTGCCCCGCCGGAGAGTAGTGGTGCTAGTGGGGAGGGCAACGGAAACGGCTTGTTTGTCGGTGCTCTCGCAACGGACCCGTGGCAAAACGAGTCCATTCTCCCCAGGGAGCTGCTCGTGCCTGCTCCCGAGTTGGCCACCAAGGAGACCGCGCCCGATCTGTCAAATGCCACCGACCCTGTCGCGATGGCACAGGAGAAGAATATCTCTCGCTCGGCAGGCGGGCCATTGCCCTACATGATGAAGAAGCTGGATTACGACAACGATGCCGACACGCACTCGACCGGCCTCACGTCGCTCGCCGACGAGAGCGTCAGCACGCACAAGACCATTAGTGGCGTTGAAGAGTTCAGGGCAATCCCAGGATACGGGGCGCCGTCTCGGTACCGCCATCGCGAGTCGAAGAGATCTTCGGGTCTCTTTCCCGAGACGCGCGACAACGCTTCTGACGGTTCAGCAACGGAGAGACCCGTCATCTTCAAGAACTCAGGGCTGTTTGACCCGACAGGCTCCACCTCGCCAGGCCGCGTCAGTAGCAGCGCGAGCCCTCGCCGCTTCCACAGTGACTGGAGCGACCCGCATGCCACCGATATCGATGTGTACTGCCAATGCAGCTGCAGCTGCGTCTACGAGGAGGAGTGCAGAAGATCCTGTGAAGTTCGCTACGGACGCACCAGCCCGTCGGTCTCGTCGTCGCAATCTCGCCGAAGGTATCCCAGGTTCCAAACGTTGCCACCTTCTTTGGGATCCGACTCGAGATACGCAGACGCACTTCCCAAGGTTATAGAAACGTCTGGGGATGCCCGTGCATCCCGGAACAGCGGTGGAAGAACTGGGTTTGAAAGCCGTTCAAAGGGCGGCTACGGGAGCCCGTCGTATCCGCGGGACACAGAGGAGTTGACGGATCCGCTGCATGCTTCGTCCACTCATAGCGGGATGACTTTGCCTGCAGGGTATCGTTCCAAGTCTGGAGATCAGTATACATACGCTAACAAGCCTAAGTATGAGTACCGGCAAGATTCAAAGTCGACGACCTCGTCGACTGGCAAGCGGTACAGAGCCGATCAAGTTGCACGACAAGGTTCGAAGGATTCTCGTTCCAGGACTCACCCGAAGGACGCCACAAAGTCTGGGCGGCGCGCGAGTTCAAGCCCACGTTATGGGTCGACGTCTGAAAACGAAGGCAAATCAGTTCCCAGGCAGCATCGCAGTCGAACTTCCTCCCGAACCACGAATGGGTCCGGATCAAGTACGCACATTTCTGAATTGCCCAGAGTGGCAGTGGCGCCTCGATTGGGAAAGAACGAAAAGTTGCCTGGCGGTACAACCCCCGAGCGAAGACGTCGTGGAGTGGATGATCCCAAGAGGCATCAACACAGGCCACCTAAAGATGGAACTCCGAACGTGAGCTACAATCACATTGTGAAGAGACAGGGGACTTCGCCACAGGGCCATAGTCAAATGCCACAACCTTATCGGGCTAGTGGATATGGACGTGAAGTAAGTTATGACTACGCTGAGGAGGGGAGTAGCGAGCAACTCGAGACTCAGGAATGGCCATCGGGGACGTACGAGTCACGATCTACTCCCATGAACGAACATCGATCTGTTATGGAGGTAGAATACGAAACCAGACCAGTTGAAAGTCCAGATGCACAGCGAAGTAGAAGAAAGTCGGACGGGAAGCACCGAACGCGCAGGCAAACTCCGTCTTCACCACATCAGTACCGAAGGGGAGGGCACAGTCACCACAGCTCGAAGCACTCATCAAGCGCACACGCAAAGCCTAAGCTTGAATCTCGCCATGGCACCAAGCAAGTCATTGGCTCGTCAAGACCGAGCTCAAAGACCAGTGATCCTAATAGGGCTCCGCTTTTCAGAATTTTCTAGACTTGCTACTCAGCTCTCATGTCGCCTACACAAGCATGTAGGAAAGAGGTGGAGAGCAATGAAAGGGGATAGTTAGGTTAAGGCTGTGAGCAACAAACGCGGTAGAATAGTAGTATTTTTTTGTCCCTCCCATCGAGTGATACACACTCAATATGTTTAGGAGTAATGTGTCAATCATGTGTGAATGTCAGTGTCTCAAGTACAGCCTCTGTACATATGAATCTCTCGTCGAGTTAATAGCGATTTGAACATAATGCATGTGCACGCACCCGCACCGCGTGGCCTTCTCATCAGCGTCCGCCTTGGCTGCTTCATTACAGGGTGGAGAGCAACAGTCTCACCTTCTCGATTTTACTGTTCAGATAGTAGCAGTACCCCTCTTCCGGCGTGCTGTCTGTCATATCTCCGGTGACGCGCCTCACACTGGTGTTAACAGGAATTCAAGCTCTCAAACGAGATGCGTCTAAGCCGAAATGATCACTCTTTCGTAGAGATATGGCGATTTAACAGAGATCAGAACCTTTTTGGGGTGTGCTGAAGAGAACGGTTTCTGCACCCATCATACTGTACGTTCTCAGAACGTTTGACTCAAACGTTCTGAGAACGTACAGTATGATGGGTTTGAGGGGTCGGATCAAACTTGTACAGCAGTGGACAGTGAAGGCGTGCGGTGCCTCCGGTGCCGCAATTTGACCATGAACATTGCCGCAAGGGTCAACGAATTTGTGCAGGCATGATATAAAACGAGGTTGCGCTTCCCGCCGCGACCACTTTCTGCCCCTGTTGTTGCCAGAGGAACCACAGCGTTTGAGACAATTGCACTCCTTTTCGTAGTTTGAATAAAAACGGTGTGGAAGAATCTACGTCCAACACGGTTTGTCACAATCGTTTATCGGGGCAGAAAGAAGAGATGAATAAGGAAACTGGTTGGAAAATCGACTCGAAAGGCTTGTCGCCGACCTACGGTGAACTAGAGAAGATGTGCAACTTTCTATCAGATCGTGCAAAGGTTGACCCTTGCGTAACCTTTTCCTCCCCAGACCATGCACTGTCTACGTTTCCTTCATTAGAGATTAATTCATCGCGAATTGAGTACGTGGGAGGTCCTCTCTGTACTATGATTTCAAGCACTTTCTCAGAAGGGTTAACGGGACAAGTAAATCTGTGCGAAGCAGATGGGCCACCCGTCTGCATGCTGCTTCGAGATTTTTTATACACACGGCCAGTCTGCCTCCAAGATGTCTCGTTCAAAGACATCTGCAATCTGGCCAAGGTCGCTCACCGATGGGACCTCTTGGTGTTGTTCAACAGCATTCTTCAGTACGTTAAGGATACAAACTTGCTGTCTTGTGGTACCCGGGTAGTTCTTTTCGCTGAAGTCGTCAAGCTTCATATTTTGCCCCTTGACCACACAAGGTACTTTTGGGAGCAAGTTGGCCATTTCTACAAGGATCTTACAAGTTTTCCTCAGACAAAACAAAAAACGCAGAATTTTTCGCGCTCTAATGTCACGGATGTTGACGGAGACACCAATGACATAAATGGTTCACAGGCACGTGAGAGTGGAACAGAGAGTCTATCCAGGGGTAGAAACGTTGATCGTAATTCAAGTGAAGATGGAGTGCACCCAACAGTTGACATATTTCCAAACAAGCAAGTGATTTGTCCCCGCTTTCCAGGGCTGTGGACACTTGCTTTGTCTCAAGGCATGGTGCAAGTTGTCCTTTCTGCAGCTCTTACGGAATCAAAAATATCAAATAATGATACGTTGCACCTGTGGCACGTCGTGTTGAAGTTTCTAGAGCCTCGAATTGAGTCGGATAAAGAGGTATGCTCCCTTCTTGACTCCTTTCCGAACCGCTCTGATGAATGCGTTTCTTCAGTGCTCAATGACATGAAGATTGATGAGCAATGCAGCACTCGGGCTATGAGGCTTTTCGCAAAAAGTCAAGAAGTGAAAACAACACAAAGAAATTATTACTAGATTTCGCATAAAATATGTCTAGTTCAGGCTCTCGTTTTTGGGGCTGTTGGCATGACGTGGCGATGGGTGGCATTCGCGATACACGAGCTGAGATTTTGACTCTCTGAAGTTAAAGTAAAAGATGGAGTTCCCAGATAAGCCATGACTTAGATGCCAGACCCGCGCTGTTGAGGCCTTTCGACAACTTCATCGGCTGTGGGGACCTTGCGCTCCATACAGACAGTACTGACGACGGAGGCGACGGTAGTGGAGGTTGGACGGGGCATGGCGCGGAGGGCGGCTTTAGTGGTGACGGGGGGAGGGACTTGGGCGTTGGCTAGATTGAAGGTTTCCTGCAAAGCGGTGGAGCACAGGAAGCGCGGGCGCTTGCAGAAGCGTCGTACACCACCCTCGAATTCACTGCGGCGAAGTTCGAAGACTGTGAAGGATTGTGGATGTCTTTCATGGGGTGCGTGTTTGGGGCTGGCAGAGGTGGGTTACACTGAAGGTGCTGGGGATAATGGGTCGGAGCGCAAGTGGACTTGGTGCAAAAGGACGGAAGGCACGCCACGGAAAAGGCTGCCACTTAGAAGGGAATATCATGAAAGCCTCAATATAGGGCGACTTAATCGGATTTGGCGCGGGGTCGCCTTATAAGGCGAGCACCCCTGTACCGTATCTAGTTCACTGCTGCGAATATCCCAATTGCCTGGCACCGAGCAACCTGTCGGATGGGAATCCTCCCCCAATTCCTTTTATTGCTGCGTCTGCTGCCTCCCCTCTCTGTCTACGAGGGTTGGCGATTAAGTACTCCTCCCCCGAGGGGCCTCGGCTGTCTCTGATCCTCCCTCGCCTACTCCCTTCGTCGTCCCTCTTCCCCGCTAGCCCCACAAAATGGCTGCTCCCTCGCTCCCTTCTCTTTCGCTTGCCCCTACCGACAACCCCGCCCCTCGCCCCGACTCATACCGTCAGGTGCCGTCCTCGTTTCCCTTCGGGAGACTGGATCCCCCGCGCTGTCCGTTCCCTACAAGAGCGTTCCCTACAAGAGCGTTCCCTACAAGAGCGTTCCCTACAAGAGCGTTCCCTACAAGAGCGTTCCCTACAAGAGCGTTCCCTACAAGAGCATGCGTGTCCTTCAGTTCCGGTTCGTGGACCAGCTGTCCACGTCTCCACGTATCGTAGCTCTCAGTCCTTCCTCAACAGTACTGTATCAAGGTACAGTATGTACTCATGCTGTATCAAGGCGATTTTCTCGGCGCCACGTATGCCCGGACACCACACCCGTCAACGGAGGTGCAGCAAAACCGCCAGGCTTAATAATAACCGCGATTGCTCTTCCTGCGAGGAGTAGTTCAAGATTTTGCAGTTTCCAGAGGGACTACCGCGTTTGGGACAGTTGCACGCCTTCTTTGAGTTGGGAAGAAAGGTGCGGAAGAATTTGCATCCAGCATGGTCAGTCACAAATTTTCATCCCGACAGGAAGAAAAGGATGCTCTAGGGGATGGTTGGTTTGTTGATTCAAAGGGCTTGGCGCCGACTTACGGTGAACTGGAGAAGATGTGCAAGTTTTTGTCAAATCGTGCAAAGGTTGACCCTTGCATAACCTTTTCCTTCTCAAACCAAGGATCATCCGCGTTTCCTTCATTGGAGATTAATTCATCACGGCTGGAGTATGTGGCAGGTCCTCTCAGTACTATGATTTCAAGCACTTTTTCAGAAGGTTTAACGGGACAAGTTAATCTGTGCGAAGCAGATAGGCCACCTGTCTGCACACTGCTTCGAGATTTTTTATACACAAGGCCAGTCTGCCTCCAAGATGTCTCGTTCAAAGACATTTGCAATTTGGCCAAGGCCGCTCATCGATGGGATCTATCCGTGTTGTTCAACGGCATTCTTCTGTACGTTAAGGATAGAGGCTTGCTGTCTAGTCCTACCCAGGTGATTCTTTTTGCTGAAGTCATCGAGCTTCAAATTTCACCCCTTGACCACACAAAGTACTTTTGGAAACAAGTTGGCAAATTATACAAAGAACTTGCATATCCTTGTAAGGTACCACATCTGCGCGATCATGCTCAGAACCCTTCGCGCTCCGACGTCAAGGCCATCGACAGTTGTAGTGACAGTCACTCACACAGTAGTGGAGATAAGTGTTCAAGAAGATATGCAAAGGGCGAGCATGAGTCAGATGAATCTCTTAGTGGAACGGAGGATTCACAGTCAGATGAATCCCTTAGTGGAACGGAGGATTCACAGATGGTCGAAGATGACGAAGAAAGCTTGGTTGAAAGGAGCAGTGGAGAAGAGTGTCCGAACAGCAATGGAAATGACGACCATATGTTGTTTGACCGCGAGTTTCCAACAGCTGATAGATTCCCAAACAAAGAAATGATCTGTCCGGGCTTACCACGGGTGTGGTCGACTGCTTTGTCTCAGAACATGGTGCGAGTTATCCTCTCCAGAGCTCTGAGATATTCATCTTCGCGGAAGACAAAGTTGCACTTGTGGCACGTTGTGTTAATGTATTTAGAGCCTCGAATTGCGTCGGATGGCGAGTTTTGCTCCCTCCTTGAAATCATGTGGGAGCACTGTGATCAACGCAGTGATTCAGTGCTCGACGACGTGAGCATTGATGAGCAATGTCGTACGCGAGCTATGAGGCTCTTTGCCAAGACCCAGCGTGAAGCGCTATACGAATAGTCTGATTTCTAATTCAAGTCCTACAATTTCCGGGACATTGGCGTCACTTGAAGACGAATGGCGATTGCGGAGTGAGGTCGCTTTCCTCTCTGAGGACTAAGCAAAATGTGATGTCCCATGAAAGCCTTGATTTAGATCTCTGGAAGGCGCTGTTCGTTTTATGATCGAAGGCTTACGACACAGATGCCACCGTAGCAGTGTCAAGAAAATATTGGAAGAGCAAGGACATCAAGGTTTGGTCGCCCTTGATGATAGCACTGGGGAGAAAGAAACTAAACTACGGAAAGCGAAGGAGACCACGGTACGGGGGGTTGGGCAGTGCGTTGAACCGGTGAGGCATGAGTTCGGGGAAGCAACGGGTCTGCAGGAACGCAACGACACCCATGTGGGAGAAATTACTACTCGTTATCTGCCTGCCATGGTGTAGGGACTGTTTGACACAACATGAGGGATCTTTGTCGTAGAAACAGACAGGCGAGGAGCATCTGCAAGAGTAACAAAACGCCAGCCAGCACTCTGCGACGAACAAACGGATAGATTTGGTGCAATGGTCACTTTCCATTTTTACATTAAAATGTTGCAGCACTGTATGATATGACGCTGTAGCGTCGATTTTTTGTCCACTCACGTCCGTACGAATAAAGGCATGCTCATCAATCCCGTCCACAAGGCCCTGCGTCCATCACCCAGCTTCAACACCCTTTCAAGCACATGCAACTCGCAGACTTGCCTCCACCGCTTCCCTCCCTATTCGCATTCCCCATACCTGCGCCAAGTCCAAAGCAATTCCAATCTCATGTCAGCGACGCAACGTGAGCACTCTTGCCTGGGTGGTCTCTTCTCCTCTTCGTCGAAGGCGCTTTCCCCACCCTCCTCGATCCCCGGCTTTCTTCTAGCCGAAGACGCCTTCACTGCGTCGGAGGAGCTGTCGCTTCTTCAAGCCGTCGACGATTCTTCGGCCCCTTGGACACGTCGCCGCACGCGTGTCACAAAGAATTATGGTCCTTACTACTTATACAACGAGCGCGACACGCCCAGTGGGCGCTTCCGCTACACGGATGGCAAGGTGCTGCACACGCCGCTGCCGGACTTTTTGAAGACTTTGATTATCCCAATTCTACATAGGGCTCTACCCGTGCTCAAAGAGTTTTACCCAAATCAGGTGCACGTGGCGCTGTACAGGGAAGGGGATGATGACAAGATACGGATGCACAACGATAACAAGATGGGGGAGCTGGGGCCTTTCATTGTGGGCATGTGCTTGAAGGGGGACTGTGACATGACATTTATGCGGCCGAGGGACAAGAGGAAGAGGGTGGTGCGGCTGCCGAGAGGGTGCGTGTATGTGATGACGGGAGAGAGCCACTTCGAGTGGCGGCATGGCATTTTGAGCGGACAGACTCAAGGGGATAGGGTGAGCTTCACATTGCGGGAGGTGAAGAAGCTTGCAGTGGCCGACGGCGTGAAGGTCACTAAGAGTAGCCACGCGCCGAGTCAGAGGGCCATTCAAGTGCAGATGAGGAAGGATTCGATGAGGAGGGTGGGCGTGCACGAGGGAGAACAGATGGATATTCGGTTGGCTGTGAAGGATGAGTTGTGATTGTTCGGTAGCTACCTGAGCTATTGGTCAGACTGCGAATGTAGGCGCGCGTGGACGTAGATTAGGTTTTCGTGAAGTTGCGCTTTGTTCTTCTCGAATTGTCAGTTTGTAGAGTAAGAAAAAAGTTGTGTCCTTGCAAAGAAAAAGTGGTCCCACATTTTCGGGCGGCAGCAGGAAATATCTTTTTTGTTCTCCTGACGCAAGAACTCCACAACCCTGGGCCGGGGGGAGTGGCCTCTTATCTTTCAATGACTCTTGACGCATTACCATTGTTTTTGAGTCGTACCGAAGTCGTCCAAAATCAGCCGTTTTGCCCTCATATGAGGCCAAATGCCAATTGCATGTCTATAAGAAACCGACAATAAAAGCTCGAGCATGGGCTGAGAGAGGAGATGCATGGCTGGCCAAATGCGGGGTACTCTTGTGTTTCGTATTACGAGGAATTCACTGCTCCAGCCCGAGGAGGTATCTTGCTGCCGTCACGAGCGCTGACGTCAGCCTGTTCTGCCCGTCTGTAGAATAGCATGTACACGTTTCCACGTCCCCACGTTTCAACTGTAATCTTTGATACAAAAGCCTGGAAGACAAACTGTCTTCCAACCTGAAAAAGTATGATCTGCTGTGGGCTGACATGGGCGCGAGCAACACCACAAGACCACTGCAAGTACAGCCGTACTTGATTGACACTCCAATTCGCTCCTTACGCTCCTCCCACATCCTCGTTTTGCCACTCGCCACTCGCCATCCTCCCACAGCCCCCCGCGGCCGAGTTGCTTCGTTGCTGCGCTTCCGCGATGGATCCCACCAAGCAAGTGTTGCGCGAGCTCCAGATGCGCCCCGAAAACAAGGTCTGCGCCGATTGTGGCACCAAGAACCCGCAATGGGCGACCGTCTCTTTCGGCACCTTCATCTGTCTCGACTGCTCGGGGCAGCATCGAGGCTTGGGCGTCCACATATCCTTTGTGCGCTCCGTCGGTATGGACAGATGGAAGGAGTGGGAGGTGAAGCGCATGCAAGCCGGCGGTAACGCAAAGTTTGTCACCTATTGCAAGAGCAATGGCATGCATGGTGCCGATATTGCCTCCAAATACCAATCGGAGGCTGCGGCCATCTATGCAGCCACGCTCAAGGCGGTCGCGACGGGTGAGCCTTATGTGCCACCCGCCCCGGCAAACAGACCAAAGCCACGCCCGGCTGCGTCACGAGGGATGGGAACAACAGGCATGGGCGGGATGACGACGCATTCAGCGCCCGCGGGGGGCATAAATGATATGGGAGAGAGAGGTAACTCGGGCGGCGGATTTGGGGGAGCAAGGACGGGTGGCATTTCTTCGGACATGTGGGCACAGAGCAATGGCAATGGGGGGATGCCGAGTATGTCGAGTGTGTCATCCGCGTCATATCAGAAAGGTGGGGGAAGCGGAGGAGGTACGGGTGCTGGGTTTGGCGGGTTTGGAGGATTTGGTGGAATTTCGTCAAACGCCAATTTGAACAACGTGACGTCCAACCTCAATAACGTTGGTAAGAGTGTCACAAGGAATCTATCTAGTATTGCGAGTCAGGTGCAGACATCGGATGTTGTTGGGCAAGCTGGGAAGGCGGCTGCGCAGGCCGGCGGGATGCTTTCGTCGTGGTTTACGAACGTGTCGACGCAGGCGACGAAGATGATGAATGACGATGATGGGCGCAATGAACTGCGGCAGAATCTGCGACAAAACCTGGCACCTGGAGCAGCGAGCGCAGGATTCAGGGGCTTTTCGTCAGACGACTATCAAAAGTCGTATGGATCCAATGGGAACCAAACGTCGATGGGCGGCTCGAGGAGTGCTGAGAACAGTATGCCCTCGATGTCGTCGGCTGACTATGCGAGGTCAAATAACACGAGTAACGTACCTAGTGTTGCTCCCGTGCATGCATCAAACCCGGTTACCAGCACCGGGAACGATGGCTGGGGAGGTTTTGATGACGTCGCTGCGGAACCGCATGGAAAGAAAGATGCTTGGGGCGCATGGGATTAGCGGAATCGACTTGGTTTTGGATTCGGCTTGGAGGCGTGGGGGAGCGCGGTAGAGTTGGGTGTTGAGGGGGGGACTGGTTCATGTTCCTCGAGTTGCATAACTTTTTTCACTTTTTTGCGGCACTAATTGTAAACCAAGTAGTTTGTAGAGCGTCCTGTATTTGCTGGCGAGTGAAGGTAAACATTTCTGTGCCGTAATCTCGCGTGAAGGGTCTTGCTCTTGTCGACAAGCGCCGGACAGATCGTAAAAGCTGCTCTTGACTGGCTGACTGGGATGCTCACAGGGGCAGGAAGGCGGAAATATTGAGAATTTTTTCAAATTCGCCCGCAAGAGACACCTGTGCACATATTCTTGACCAAGCGCACCATCCTCTGCGTGTGACTTGCAATTCTACGATCAGGCACAAAGCCTAGCAACAAACCGGCGATGCTCAGATCTCTCTCGCTCGCCGCGCGACACTACGCGCCGGGCGGACCATGCCGAACGCTGATTCGTGGGCTGAGTGCGGAAACAACAACAGCACAGGTGCAAAATCCACCAAAGGCAAAAGGGGATTCTGAATTCGTTAGGCGACGACGGGAGTACCGCAAATGCTTGCACGAGCGACGCGTTGTACTGCAGAGTGAATTGCAGCGAGAGGAAGTAAAGGATATCGAGAAAGATCGGGAGGAGATCGCTGCGGCGCGACAGGCCCGACTCGAACGCAAACGGTATGAACTGCATTGAATGTGTCAGATTTTTGTTGAGTGGTGAAAACGTAGTTTATTGGACTAACGGGTTTGTTGATCAAACTGTGGTTTATATCGGATCTGGGGACAGCGCAACGAGCGAGGCCAAGCAGGTGCGAGCAAAAGAGCTAGCAGACGGGATACGGAAGGTGAAGGAGGAGCGGCAGGCGTACCGGAAGGACGAATGGAAGCGGAAGCAGAAGGCGTTGAAGGCACGTCGGGCGGGGGTTGTGCAAACACTGGTGGACCGGTCGCATGAGTGGATCACAGAGGAAACGCTGCAGGAGCACGTGGACAAGGCCGTAGACGAGTTTTTCATCGAGGTGCGGGAAGATGAGAGAGGGCCTAAGGTGGTGGGGTGGTAGGGGGGGGGGGGGGGGGGGGGGAATGAATGGGAACGCAGAGACATGAACTATTTGAAAGTCCCACGAGTTTCTTTCATTTAGAGTGTAGTGGGTTTGAAGTGAAGGACATGACCAATTTTGGAATTTGCCAACGTTAAGAAATGGTGATTGAGTGAGTGAGTGAGTGTCGCACTGATGGTTGATGGAATGGTAGTTATGTCGTCGGAGCGAAAGATAACTTACGCGCCACTTTTCGCCCCGCGACATGCGATATGCTATTGGGCTGCGGCGGCGTTGCGAGACATACGTCGGGCTCTACGTCAGGATGACGCTGTGACATAGCAGAATGGCGGTGGTGCCAGAATTGGCTGTAGAGCGAAGGGCATGGGGAGAAAAGGGGTTTGGGTTTAGCATGCCATAGAGAGGACACGTGTACGGACTTGTTCGAAACCGGCCAAGGGCTCCTACGGGCCATGGTAACCGAAATTGGAGGTGGCCATGTACGGCTATAGGAAACGTGTATATGTAAGCAGGTCGCAAAAGGCCCAATCAAACAGGCGTAGATCTGCTTACACTTTCCAGAGGCGTTGGTATCCTGGGTCCCTGGGTCCTGATATTATTGTTTGGCGAATGTCTCACCATCACTAATGATCTTCTCAAAGCAGTTGCTGTTGACATCGTCTGATGATACCAAATCTATCTACAAAATGTTCAATAAACACCTCTCAGATACAGCATGTCCCAACCAGAACGCAACCTCCCCCCTTCCCCCCCCCCCCAAACACCCCGCACCCGCACCCCCGAAGTTCAGCCTTTTTCAAGCTCACTATCTCATTCCTCTCACACACCCGGCTTCTCCGCCTTGGTTTTTCTAGTGCCTGCTCCCCCGTCTTTCTCTCGTATTAATAGACACACAAGCCCCGCCCAAGCCCAACCCCTCTTCTTGTGCTCCGCGTCAGCGCTCCGCTGACCCTGCCTTGCGCAAACCTGTACTGGCGGCCCCATAATGACTCAACCGCATGTCTCAGTGTCACAGAATCGCCGCTCCGCCGTGCGTCGTGATGCAAGCCCCATCCCTTCTGTCCGTGCGAAGCGCATCACAAACCTCGCCGCTATGGCTTCAAACGTTATGCTCCCTCGCGACAAGACCCATCTTCACACAGTCCGCTACGTCGCTCAGATAGATCTCGACGGCTGGATGCTCAGGCGAACCAAAGTCGGTGCTAAGACAAATTTCTTTGTCGTCCTCGAGGGCACCACCCTCAAGATATTCAAAGATAAGTCGGCCCCGCAGCGATATTCCGTATCCGTGCGTGAATTGCCACCTCACGTGGATTTGGAAAGGTGTGAGCTCCACGTCAAGTTTCCTGGCCCTACTCGAGGGAAAGAGAGAGTTTTGCGCCTTATCATCCCAACGCAAAAGGATGCCCATAAGTGGAAGCATGCGCTCGAGTCTGCTGTCAACAGCGAAATCACAGACTTCTACACCTTGGGCAAAACTCTTGGTAGCGGAGCTTACGGTGAGGTCGTCGAAGCCTGGGACAACCGGACTAAAGATAAGCGCGCCATCAAAATTGTACAACGTGGAAACAACATGAAGGGCCGTGAACATGTCGAATGCGAAATCCAAGTCATGAAGACGATAGCTCACGATAACATCGTCCAGACGTATCAGATTTTCGACCTCAAGCGTACAATCTACATCGTTATGGAGTACGTCCCTGGGGGTGACCTGTTTGACTTTGTAGCTCAGCACAACTGCCTGACTGAGTCCCATGCCAGCCAATGCGTCAGATCTATTTTCCAAGCTGTTGAATATTTACATCGACACGGTATCGTTCATCGAGACCTCAAACCAGAGAACATTCTTTGCGCAAACGAGTCGTGGCCATTGAAAGTTAAAGTCACAGACTTTGGCTTTGCAAACTTCATGGACCCTAACAGTGACCCTGGCAACACCATGCGCACCCAAGTAGGCACCGCCTACTTCATGGCACCTGAAATCGTTAAAAATATGGGCCACGGACCGGCCGTAGATCTGTGGGCTTGTGGTGTCATATTGTACACTATTCTTACGGGCAGACTCCCGTTTCCAGGAAAAAACACAAGGGAATACTTCGATAACGTCCGTGATAGGGCACCGCTCTTTCCGGCAATATTGTGGAAGGGCATCTCGGCAGACGCGATGAGCTTAGTCAAGGGCTTGCTTAACAAAGATCCCAACAAGCGCCTTACGTCTTTGGCTGCATTGCAGCATCGCTACATTTCTTCAGATAAAACGCCCTATGCCGACAATGCGATTCGCAGAGATCGATCAAACCTACACTCGAGTCGACGTAAACTGTACAAGGCGAGAAAAGTGATCATAGCAGTCGCAATGGCCAACAAGTTTAGAGCAACAATTCCTCAGGTGGTAGACAAGGTCGGTGACGGTACGAAGAAGGTCGCGGTAGGCATTGAGAAGGGAATCAAAAAGACTAGTGAAGGTATCGGCGAAGGGGCAAAGAAAACAGCGGAAGGTGTGAAAAAGGTCGGGGATGGTATTGGGGAGGGAACTAAGAAGATCGCCGGAGGCGTTGGCACTGGCGTGAAAAAGGCTGTTGATGGGGTGGAAACAGGCGCCAAGAAAGTCGGGGAGGGGACCAAGAAGGTAGCAGGTGGAATAGAGACCGGAATCAAGAAGACAGCGGGCGGAATAGAGACTGGATTTAAGAAGACAGCGGGCGGAATAGAGACTGGATTTAAGAAGACAGCGGGTGGAATAGAGACCGGATTCAAGAAGACGGGTGAAGGAATGAAAAAGACAAGCGGGGGTATAAAGCGTAGCGTAGAGAAGGTGAAGTTCGATAGAGAGAGAAGTCGCGGCGGTGAAACGGGTAGAAGGCAGGCGGACGCCGGCGGCAGCCAAACAGGTTCGGGACGTGATTCAGTTCGTGATGGGAGACGGCGCCCTCTGTTTCGTAGAAGAGACCAAAACACATCCATTTCAAGTGCAGTCTCAGAACAAGAGCCCCCTGGAAACGAGGATACTTTTCTCGATTCTCTCGGAACCCAAAAACCGAGTCCAGAATCGCATCCCGCTGTGCATGTCAGTGTACCGCCTCGAGAGCCTCCGCCTGTCTCAGCAAGGAGAAGGAGTGAAAGCGAAACCTCCAGTGCTGATTATTACTCAGCGAATGACCATTACAGCGACATTGAAGCCGAATGGACTCATGGTAATGATGAAGACAACAAGGGTTTGGATTTCCGTGTTGCCAGCGCTGTGACAAGCAAAGTTCTCTCCACCCCACGAGAACCAATGGATGTGGACAGCAATGTCCCGAATGGATATCCAGACGTCGATCGAAAGCCACTCCCCATCGTCTCCAACAGTATTCTGAAACAAATATCCGACGCCTCGAGTTCAAGTACAGGTTCTTCTCGGCCAAAGCTCCCGCCTCTGGACGGCCTAACCATGGGCCTTTCGGACGAGTGCATGGCTGGGAGCTCTCGTGATGCTTTGAACGTACCGAGAATGGATGAAGTTGAAAAGAAGAGGCCATGGGATGAGACCCTGGAAGTCTCACCAGATGCTGTCTCTTCTATAAGCGATACGGTCCCAATTCATGAAGCAGATGCGCTACGGAAAGCGGCTGCGCTTTTTCTCGCTTCAATGCCGTCGAATGGTATGATGCTAGGTGCAGAACATATGACTCATTAACAACAGTAAAGGCGAAATGCGTGAAGACAGGAACGGAGAAGTTTGCAACGTGCGTAGGATTTACGTTCCATTCGTGCCAAAATCGAGAACGTGATTCGTAAAATCAAGCTAACTAAGTGCTTCAGTAGGGCGCCATGATAGCCTTCGGTTGCGATTTGAGAGAGGTCCTCATGAATCAGAATGGTCCCCATTTCAGCGTCCTTCCACCTATGACATGCAAATGAATGTGATAAACACTCTGTAGACCTTGTTTCCCGTTGTTCACAAGAACTCGATAACCATCCTGCAGGCCTTCAAGTTCGGCGACTTTTGCTGCCGTCAACATCAAATGACCCAGAATCTCCTTATCGTCCGGGGTTGCCATGCTAAGCATTGGTATCCTGCGTTTAGGTATAACAATGACATGAGTCGGAGCTTGTGGATTGATGTCGTGAAACGCAAGACTTTGATCATCCTCATAGACGATTTTCGCAGGGATCTCTTTGGCAATGATCTTGTCAAAAATGGTCGGAGCCGCCAGGTCGACAGGTGGCTCAGCACCCTTCTCCGCTGCCATCGCGAAAGGATTTGGGCGGAAAGAACGCTGGAACAAGGGCCGAGCTCTTCGCTGGAAGGGGAAGCAGGTCAAGTGATTGATAGAGTTTTGTGCCCGAAGAGCAAATCTGGCCCCGCTGACGATGAATGCCATGCTAAACGTGATGCGGACTGTGGCGATGTTGTTTTCTTCCCTTCCTCGGCCAGAATTGTGGTGCAGGACGGGAATTTTCGTGGATGAATTTTGATGGGACATGGCAGTCGAGCTACACAGGTGTACGTATGGTGGACACGTGAACACGTGGTCAGCAGAGAAACATGGATGCCTCCAGAGGCTGACCACGGCGGCGACCTATCGGAAGGCGATAAGTTCAGTACTGTATGTCTGAAGGATGAGTCAACCATGAAGCAAGATTTACAGCGAGCTCGAAAGTGCTTCCTCGCCAGACTTTCCTACAGACAGCTGGGAAGGACGGCATGCCTGACTGGGCAGTGGGATGTGGTCTGTCGCAACGCAAAGCTGAGGGCCGTTCCTAACAACGAGCACGGTGTGCTAGCACGCAAGGACCCTGACATTTGGCATGAATAGATTGGTGGAATGAGAGGAAATAATTTATATAGTAAATGACGATGCGTTTTCAAAAACTGTGGAAGGGCGTAGAAACTCGCCATGTTCCACCTGTTCTGAGAGGTCGGTTATCCGGTGTCATAACACATTTGAAAACTACTCCTCACACCTCTTATCATAAGCCGTCATTGTACCTCTTCGCGTATGATAAAGCAACGAAATGACTCTCCTTGTCGTCTCGCGTACCTAGGCTACTGTTATGGATATCCGCCTCCGTTCTACACGTGTAGACTAAATTTACAGTATACCTCCCCAACTTTCAATCGGGCGGTGGTCATTTTGTTTGGTCCACCGACGCACACCTCCCAACCCTCACTATGTCTGCTCTGTAACACCCCCTGCGCCCTTCCCCACCCCCTACCCCCTTCCCGGGCACCACCTCCCTCCCTGCCCTCGCGATGCCGCCCGGACCCCGGACCCCCGATCCTTGCACCCCCAAACCCCCCACCTGCTCCCGCCCTGCTACGTGAGGGCAAGAAGCAGAAGTGACTTCATCTGCGTTGACTGGGATGCAGTTGGGAAGGTGGAACGGCGATCTATGCGCTGGGCTTTTCTGTGCTGCTGATGGTGCATCATAGGCATTGTGCATGCATCATACAAAATTTATGTCATTTGCATTTCCGTACCAGATCACAAAATACGACCCACATACCGAAAGAATTTGTGTGTATGAAATTTATGTGCGTTTGTGTCTTTCGGAGTCGCCCAAACTTGCTGCAGCAGGTGCACCACCGATCACGCTTCTGGTTCTACTACAACTGCTTACCTCTAGCCTCCTATACCCCTTCACCTCCTGACTTCACGATACTGTATCTGGTCAGACGTGATGACATTGTTCGAAGACTCTCCCCGTCGATCACATCGAATCTCTCCTCTGAAGTCCCCTCAGCATTCTCTTTGTCTTTCTCCGCGACGCCACCTACGTACCTCCCCACGTCGCTCCACGAGGGCCCCCAACAGTACTCCTCGTGGGCAAAAAAATGCCTCATCCCTTCAAACCAATCAATACACCCACCCAATCCTCCTTCCCCTTCTGAATCAGCACGCGCAGAAGAGAACAGCTCCTTGGCAACTTCACAAAAAATCTAACTCACCTTTTCAAGAGTCGGGTTTTTACCTTTCTGTCATGTCTAACAAAGGAAGTATTGCCAAAGATCGGGAAGGATTGGGGGTCAAAAAGTTAGAGGAAAGAAAGATTTGATCGTATTTCGGATTTACAAATACGTGCTATGCAATGTGAAGAGCGAAGAGTCAACCTTTGCTTTTTTAGAATCCAATGCTCATTGCCTGTCTTTTAGTGACTTCTCAGCACGAATAAGAGAAACCGATCAAACGATGCACTCACCGCCTTCCTGGAACGAACTTAAGAAGGCTTTAACGGAAGCCAGTGACACGTTAGAGACGTATGAAAAAGGAGCGTTGAGGTCCATGGATGGAAATGAGGAACCGAAGCCATTCTCTTTGTCTGAATTTGCACGTCTCGCTGTAATCATCAAAACTGATGAAGAGTGCAGGCAGGCTATGGAGAAGCTCCAGCTAGAGTTGATGAGGGGAGAAATTGATAGAGGGAGAACAAAGGAATGCTACTGGGGTGCAATTGCTAGACGCTTCAACGACAATTCGTTGCGGCCGTGTATGTCTTTCGTCGGTTTTTGCGAAGAAGCTGATCCAGCGCGGCTTCCGTTGACCTATAGACCGGCTTCAGTCTTGAAAACGCAGTTTCAGAATGCACGGAGTCATTTTACATCCGCAAAAAAACGTGGGAACTTTCTGGGCAAAATGATCCACAACAGTTCTGGAGATTTGTGCATTGCAAGAATCAGGATTCAAATTTTCCAACGTCGATTGGGAAGCGCTGCATAATTCTTTTTCGCGTTTCTGACGTTGGAACTCCATCGGCGGATACCTTTTTCATCAATATTTCAACGAAATCGATGAAGAATGGAGGGTAGGAAGAAGCCGTAGTTGCAGGGATCCCAGCTAATACTGTTGACGATCCAGTACTTCAGGACAGAAAAAAAGGCGCGTGAGCACTGACTCGCAACAGAATTCTGCATTAAGCGAAGTGAAGGGCGTGGTGGAAAAGCTTGTCGGGCAGGACAGATTGTTTGTTAGTAGAATGGCAGGTATGGGTGCCCTCGAGGAGGGAGATATCAAGAAACCGGAGGAAGATCCCAAAACAGGTCGAATGAAACGCATAGAGAGGATGAGTCATTGCGTTAAACTAATGGACGAACTCAAGACCTCCACGGCACTTGCAAAGGAGAGAAATAAGGATGAAGAGTACATTTCTTTTTTAAACAGTCACTACAAGCTGTTAAGGGAGGAGTACAGCGAGCTCCATTACCAGAAATAACGGCAAGATGCACACAACTGGAACATCTCTAAGAGGATTACCTCTTCGCTTATCTTCTCTTCATCCCCCCATCCTCTCTCCCTTAGCTCGTCTTCCATCAAAGACTTGCAAGTGCTCGTCCCGCGCATGGTCTTCATATCGTCCTGGCGAATTCGGCGCCTTACCACCGCCACCGCACAGAGACTGGCACTTCGTACCGAACCGGAGATGCTCATCTCGCCAGCACAATCTTACTGCGCATGCTTCTGTCCGGCCGGACAGAAGCATGCGGCAGCGGCGCTCATCGTGACGTAGAGATGGTTTCGAAAGGGGTCGCGGGATTGAGAGATGACACTTAAGCTTTTACGCGTGAAGCAGCGGAGGAGCACATCAAATCGTTCAGTCGCCATTGGATGTAGAATCGGTACGTGTATGGCTGGTGCAATCATAATTGGGCCGCTTTTTGATCCCGCCGCGGGGACACCGTGTGAGTTGATCCGCAGCAGGAGAAAAGACCAAGGTCTTACTCGCTTCGTCCAGCTCTTTGGGGACGGGGAGCTCGTGATAGATACCGCTCGCGTCTTTGCCTCCCAAAGGAAGAAATGGCGTTATGATCGCCCGCATTCGCAGCTCCCATCCTCGTCTCCAAGCGGCCGCGCAGCCTCTCCATCTCCACGAGTTTCTCCTTGCGCCGTTTGTGCCTCTGCAAACTCTATCGCGATGCGCTCCGCCTGGCTCCCAGCCCTCTCCACGACACCCGCACTCCGCAGATTTCCGCCTGCGAATCGATCGTCCGCTCCGCCCCGGACAATAAGGGCCACGTGTGCGCGCCCGACTTCATCCCAGCGGGCTCCTTCACTATCCTGCCGGAAAGTCAAGACGCGCCAGGTCGTCTCCATCGCCGACGCCAAAGCCGTGCTAGCATAGTATGCGTGCTCGACCTGCTCGGAGCCTGGCGTGCTGCGGTGCGATGTGCTGTACCAGGTCACGTCCCTGGGGACGCCGAAGGGCCGCTTTTATCACATCTGGATCGCGTTTGAACACGCTGCCGCGTACACAGCCCATGACAAGACCACCCACGCTGCTAGGTTAAGGCTGTGGCTGGAGAACCCGGCAGGGGAGAATGTGCTGTGGCGCTGACCAAGCTGTCGTACCAGTCGAGCATCTCGAGGCGCTGCGGCCGTCTGTAGAGGGATGGCGGTCGGACATTGATTACACCGTCGAGACGGATGATGAGAGGAATCACAGGATGGCAGACGCCACTATGAAATTGATACGAGGGGATAGTCCTACGGTGTCAGATAACGTGCGCAATTCGTTGGACGTTCTTGTCTCCAGTGTGCGGCTTGAGAACGTCACCGTGCTTGTCGTGTCCGCTACGGACGTGTCAAGTGACGCCGTCCCTTCATTGACGAGAATTTGCGAGCAATACGCCGAAGACCTGGAAAAGAGCGTCCGCGTTGTTCGTACGGTAATTCTGGCGGAGCGAAACAACGCTCGAAGAATCGCCGTTATCACAGTGCATGATTCCAAGCGCGAGGACGGCGCCTTCTTTCATACTGACAGGGCTGCAGACCTGATCGGTGACGATGGAGGGTCCGTGACCCGTCACTTTTCTGTTTTTCCAGATAAGATAGGATGGGAAAAGCCGTCAACCCTGCTGGACCAGGAAGAAGAGCCCCGGAAAACGGGAGATAAATGTTTAAGCGTTCTTGGACCACTTGCATAATGTAACAGACCAAGACTACAAACTTTGAAGCAGGTTGCACAGAAGCGCATTGATGTGATCCCTGAGCTTGGACTGACGCACTGCGGGCGAATTTTTTTTATTAAAGAGGGCTGCGACTGACGGCCACATTTTTTATTGTTCGATGTTATAAGTAATGTTGCGAAGAACGCTTGTAGAATAAACTGTTTTACAATGTCTCGTTAAGACACGAAGCACAAGAAAGCACTGCAGAACGAAGTCCAGGGTGTGGCGGCCTTCCCTTGTGGAGCTGGAACACCCTCAGAAATATCGCGAGCCAGATTGAGAGAAGGTATCGTTCTTCTCAAGTGCCGACCATCCACCTCCTAAACAACCCCTCCCACCAACCCCTAGCTGAGCCGCTCTATTGATTAGCGTGTACCGAGCGTGAACAAAGGCCAAGTCATTGGTACGGGGAAGTACCCCGCAGCCTGCGCTCCAACAACAAACCGGCGCGCACGCTTTCCGTGATGTCGTTCTCATCCGATCGACTCCGGGAGGCGTCCAACTTGGGCGACACAGCAGCGGCGCGCAGCTCCAACACGCGAATGCAGACTGGGGCGGGATGGCCGACCAAGTATTGAATGGCTCTGTACCTATTGCTGTATCACGCATCTGTCCATCACTCGCAAAAAACAATCTCATTCGAGAAAGAAACTCTCCTTACAACTGATCGCTCGGGTTGGTCATAGAGGCAAGGGAGGGCGCAAAAAGCAACTTTGATTCAACAATCTGTACCATGCGTTGTCTGCAGCGTGATTTAGAACTTTTCGCGAACTGCGATTCCATTCCAGCCTCTTCCACCGAATGCAGATACCAATCAGCCTCTTCAGCTTGTACAGCATCCATGTTCGCTCTTTTTATGATTCGTGGACTAATTGCACCGCTCTCCTCTCTTATAAAATTGTGTAGCTTCATAGCTACACAAATTACGCGTGTAGATGTTTGCACAGAGAAGTTCAAATGATACAGCATTCGCCATTTTGACATAAGTAACCCAAAAGCCTGCTCAATATGCATGCGTAACGATGACTGATGAAAATTAAATGCATCCTCCCATTCGCTTGCCACTGTTGACGAGACCGGCGTGATTAATGATTCTGTACATGTGTAGGCTTCGTCTCCGGCTATCCAAAACCCTGAGTCGACATTATGTCGCAAAAACATTCCCAGAGCCGACACATTGTGAGCTAGGGAATCATGTGTAGAGCCTTTACATAATGCTGAAAAAGATAGGAAACGGCAGTCTGCGTCTGCCATAGCCTGCACGGGAATCGAATAGTACCCTTTCCGGCAGAAAAAAGATGCTGGATCATGATCGTGGCTCGGCTTCTTTACCTTAACCGCGATGCCGTCCTGTGCCCCACACACCCAGAAAGGGGGCTGTGTGGTGACCTTGAGAGTTTGAAGCGTTGGGCCATGGACGTCAAATGATCGACATTCTCTGGAAGTCCCGGCAAGGACATCCTTGTCATAATTGCCGCACAGCAAGTATGAAAAATGTCATATAAAGCTGTCTGTGAAATGTCCCATAACATTCGAATATTTAAGTAGCTTGCACCAGCCAGTAGTCTAATGGTGATTGATAACCGGACGTCAGCATGAATTACATTGCGATTAGTACCTGTAAAACTATTTTGCTTAAGTGGAAGAGATGGTCCGATGCGCTCGAGGAGTTTCGCGAAAAAGAAGCGAGGCATGCGGAACGCCTTTGCGAAGGTTACGTCATCAAGGGACCTTGTGATGCCTTGAAATGAGACATTCGCAAGTGTCCCCGTCTTCGTGAGACGTTTTCGTGAACTGCTTGCCTTTTTGCGCTCGGATCAGTGTAGCCACAAATGCGCAGACTACAATTTTCTTCAGCCTTGCCCTTCTCACAGAAATTGCTGCCTGGAGGCACTTTCTGTGACCGAACAAGTGATTTCTTCCCATCATAAATCCCCCCAAGAATGGTGAGCCTTCACCGCGTTCTCTGAAACCAACAACATTCTAAATCCCCTTTCTCTCTGCCGGATCATGCCCTAATTGAATAACAGTGGTGGCTTCTTATCTGGCGAGAGGTGGGTCACGAAACATAGAAAGGACCAGTGGTGGACCACAGCATCATTACTGTACCCACGTGGAGAAAGAGCGCATTTGGTAAATCGCTTTACGGCGCTCAAATCCAGTTTTTGATCTCAAACAATCTCACTGCATCGGTCCACTTTAACCTTCTACTTGATCACCGCCTTCCCCAGCACCTTCGCCGACGCATTGTCCACATTCCTCTCCGATCGTCAATTGCCATCTCTTCCGCCTGCACGTCATGGCCACCTCACACTCCAATCCCACGGCATCCCTCCACTGTCGATCCCCCGTTCTCTCCCGCGATGTCCTTTCTCACCCGCTGGGGCGGGGTCGCCCGCCGCCTAGCCTCCCACTCCTCCTCCTTCAACGCTCGATCCCTCCCCTCGCAAGTTCTGCGCGCCCTCGTCACATCCCCCCCTTCATCGCCGACGCGGGCACTCTTGGCGCGGCCTCCACCTCTACCGAGCTCGTGTCACCGCGCGGCTCCGGGGCCCTGCCCATCGGCTACATCGATGACTACCAAAACCACCCCCATCGCCAGATGCCCGACGATCCCACCAAGCGCGCGTTCACCTACATCGTCCTCGGCACCACCAAATTCATCGCCGCCTCCGCCGCCCGCGTCCTCGTCCTTAAGCTCATCTACACCACGTCTGCGTCCGGAGGTGTGCGTAGTTTGGGCGGGAGGGAGGAGGGTTGTATGAGTTGATGGGTGTGGGACAGGAGGACGATAGGAGGAAGGGATAGGGCGGGAGGGAAGCTTGTGTCCGGGAGTTAGCGTTTGTACATATGCAGATCGGGGCGCGGCGTCTGGGCGGCATCGCGAGGGTAGGGAGGGAGGTGGTGCCCGGGAAAGTGGTAGGGGGCGGGGAAGGGCGCAGGGCGCAGGGGGTGTTACAGAGCAGACATAGTGAGGGTTGGGAGGTGTGCGTAGTTTGGGCGGGAGGGAGGACGGTTGTATGAGTTGATGGGTGTGGGACAGGAGGACGATAGAGGGAAGGGATAGGGCGGGAGGGAAGCTGGTGTCCGAGAGTTAGCGTTTGTACATATGCAAGTCGGGAATGGAGGGATCCGCCGAGGAGGCCAAGACATGGCTCTCCATGATCCGCACACCACAGCCGCTGCAGCTTTCGTCTTGTTTCTTTACTTTTCACGCCACTGCACCAATCCTCTTTGTTACCCTGAGCCTCCCCTCCTTTGAGCCTCCCCTTCTTCGATCCACGCGTGACCCACGCACCAAACCCCGACTCCGCCATCCCCCTCGCGCATCACAGCAATGAATACCCCCACCACTGCCTTCCCACGCCCCCGGGGGCGGAGGTTGCAGCGGCAAGAAGGGGATGGGCCCATCCCCTTCTTGCCGCTGCGACCTCCGCGTTCGTCCG